TCTTTCAGTAATAGTCACCTAGTCTGTATTTTGATGATATCAACAATTTAGCTTAGAGATTCAGAGAGAAATTTGATTCTTACAGATAACATTTTATCAATGATCATATTTAGTAGAGAGCCAAACCAACTAAAAAATGTACTATGACATTACTTAGGGCTTCCCTGATAGATCAGTTGGTAAAGAATCCACCTGCAATGCAGGAGACCCCCGTTTGATTCCTGGGTTGGGAAGATCCCCTGGAGATGGGATAGGCTACCCACTCCAATATACTTGGGCTTCCTTTGTGGCTCAGCTGGTAAAGAATCTGCCTGCAATGCGGGAGACCTGGGTTTAATCCTTTGGTTGGGAAGATCCCCTGGAGAAAGGAAAGGCTACCCACTCCAGTATTCTGGCCTGGAGAATTTCATGAACTGTATAATCCATGGGGTTGCAAAGAGTTGGACACAACTGAGCGACTTTCACTTCACCTCATGACATTACTTGTAGAGAACTGGACAAGAAGTTATAATGCCTCCCTGAAGTTCACATACCACATGTGCAGCCAGAGTTTACATGAAAAAAGCACAATTCATAAAACCAAGTTTGTTCAAAAGCAACAATGAATAGGAAAAGTCACATCCAAACATTGTAAGAACTTGTGTGTGTGTGTTTGTATGTGTGTGTGTGTGTGTGTGTGTCTGTGTGTATGTCTGTGTGTGAGTGTGTGTGCGTGTGCGAGTGTGTGTGTGTTTGTGAGTGTGTGTATGTTTGTGTGTGAGTGTGTGTGTGTGTGTGTGTAATTTAAAAAGCACAACTAAAAAGGAAATCTATTTATTTCTTTTCCCTACTTAACTAAGCATTCAGTCTATAATCAACTGGTTAGTATGAAGTATTATTCAGGCACTATTTTTACAGTACCCTTTTTTACGGGTTTTGTATGTTATACAAACAGTGGTTTTTTGAAAATGGGCACAAATTGGTTATTCTCTTTTATGCTTCCCATATTAAGTCAAACCAAAGCTCTGGATCTATTTATTAAAGGTAACATAAGTGGAAACAAAAACATTTTAATCTTCAAAATGTCTTTCAATTTTACTCTATTCATCTATCACAGTAAAGTTTTATTTATCAAAAATCAATTTTCAAACAAGCCTACATTTAAAATAATTCCAGAGGTTTCACATTGCAAAAAAAAAGAGGGGGTGGGGAATCTTTTAATAAGTTACTGACTACTTTAGAAAAAATACATAAAAACAAATTATTTAATCATAGTGTAAAATTACTTTTTAAAAATCCCTTATTATGGTGGAAGGTCACAGATATCAAACATACTACTACTCAAAAAGACAGGGTTATTTTAAAATTCTGAACAGATGATTATTACTGTATCATTTTAGAATATTTTATTTAAGGCAATTTCACCATTAATAAAAGTTAAATGTCAACTGAAAGAAAATCATCCAAACAGTACAACACAAAAGTGGTCTAAAGTTGTGAGCAGATAATTCATACACTAATATGAAAGGCCAAGTTATATTTGAAATTTTACTCATCAGAAAAAAAGATAAATTAAAACTGGAAACCATTTTTTTAATCCATGATTTTAGAAAAAATAATTTTTTAATGTGATAATAACCATTGGCAAAAGGGTATGGAGGAGATGTCCAGTTTCTGGTCCAAATATGTACAGAGCTTAGAGGTCATCACTCTACACTAACAAGTAAAAACCTCAACGAACTGAAAAATCAACGACTCTTCTTAGATCCATCAGAAGAGTGAGGTCACAAGATAAACAACTGCCTCTACAACTGGATAAACAGTCATATAGAAAGAACCACAGACGGGCAGCCTCATGAGCAGAAATGGCCACGGGAACCACTGCCTGGGTGGGAGAATCAGAACTACAACTGAAGAACTACCAGAGTCTTAGAGTAAATGTGTCCTGAGCATTATATAAAATATTCCCATGTATATACCATAATGAGAATCTCTAGATATATTATTTATGAAAATATATTTTTTTAAGAAAAAACAAAGGAAGCAAGAAAGGAAGCGTATCATGATGTCTTTCCACAAAACCAAGTGGTGTCAAGCTTGCCACAAACATCACTAGAAAGGATTTTGACCAAATCACCTTGGATAGAAACTTGCAATCCACCTATAATAGTTTTAGCTTACAGTTTCAACTAAAGACTAAATTGATTTTCACACACACAGTTTAGATTGGTTGGTGAACAAACCAGGGACGAAACAGAATTTTGGACCCAGGAAGGACCTTGGGGGCTACTGAGCTAGACCCGTCTCTTACACATGAGGAAACTAAGGACACAGAGACTTATGTTAGAACTAACAACTAATTTCATAAAACAGGAAAGAACCTGACCCCCTTGCTTCTCATCCAGGCTTCTGGTAAAATCAATTTACTTTGTTATAACATTTTGTAAATATCATCTATGCTTCTTGAAAATTCTCAAGTGGTCCCAGAAACTTTTTATTTTCCAATCCCATTTCCAATTCCAAATAAACTGATTAAAAATCATATTAAAATATGATTACACCTCATATTTACAAGTGTAATCTAGTAGAGAATTCATAACATTTAGCATGGTGGAGGAATTTAGAAACTGTCTCTTGTTTAACTTTTTTTTTTCCCCTAAAGAAAACAAAACAGAACTTAAGTAACTTGCTAGATCCAGTGAGTCAGACACATAGTTAAGAGCAGAACCCAGCTATCCTAACTCTAGGAATGGTCTTCTGTAGTCCATATTATATTTTACTTATAAAAGGAAGGGGCAGCATGATCTTGCAAAATGAACACCCACTGACTAAACAGCTGAGTTTGGACAAGTCACCAAATTCTTGTAAGGTAGGTGCTTCCACGATTTAGTGAGCACGGTTGATAAACTGAGCTCTGAAGTTTCTCACTCCTTTCCAAGAGTTTGGAATTGTTAAGATGGGGTTCAATATGCACTAGGTCATGGGATCGAGTGGGAAAACAGAGTACTGCAACCCAACTCTCTGAGAAGTTTCAAAAGTTATACAACAGGGGAGGGTAACAAGGTATCAGAAGAGAAAGGAGGGGAGCTCAGACCTGGAGATGCACAACTAGCCAGTGAACCTGTGGTTTCAGATGCAGTAAAGGGCTTCAGCTCACTCGCAACACGGAGAAACTTGACATGTGCCACAATCACAGGGCTTCCAGGATGTGAACTTCTCCTAAGTGCTGAGTTTTCACCTCTTAGCACTCCTTCCCATTGTTCTGAGAACGCATCTGGTATAGCTGGACAACTAATAACTAGTTACATAAATTATATACATTGTTAAGGCAAAGAATTTTGTTTTCTTTAAACCCAGCATTCCATGATGGTAATTGTTAAAGCAAAAGAACAATAAGACGAGTCTGATGCTGACACATTTGAGGATGGAGTAACATGAATGTCATCAACCTTTTTCTGAAAAATAAGGCAGACCTCAAAGGCCATTTCTAACGCGTTCCTCAGCTCACAATTTGTTATCAGGTGATTCTCATCAGCATGCATGAAGTTCATACCATTATTTACATTTTCATAACCTCAGGTCAAATGACTGGAAGAAAGCACCTGTTACAAAATCTCTTCATATTGAAATTTTTTTTTCCATATTGAAATTTTTTTCTATAGTTATTCACTCTCTTCTTCCTTCAGAAAAATCCAGTTCTTTTTTGCCTGTAATCTGTTTTTCTTTCTCTCTCTACCCTAAAATCTTACCTAAAAGGGCATGATACTTCCTAAGACCTGAGCGACAATGCTTATAAATCTGAGGAAGTAACTCAGTTTTATCCCTATCCCTGGAATGCCCTATCTAGCCCATCAGTTGCACGCTTATATTATAAAACTTGTATTTGGTCCTTTGAATGGACTTTCAAAATTCTAAGCAGAGATCACTTTGAGATGAAAAGTGTTTTGAGTAGGTAAAGCCTGAATTTTGACAAGATCCATCGGGGCAACCCTTGCTAGCCAGACCCACACCAGCACCCTAAAGGTAGGGCTGGGGCAGGGGTGTGACTGGACACCGGGACACTGTGGGAAACTGGAGAAAGGCACTGATCCCTGGCTGACCCAGCCCTGCTGCCCCTCGGGAACACTGCTCTACATGAGAGTTATGTAGGTGCCGAGACCTTGCCGCGCCAACCCCACTGTCGTATCTCTGTCTCTGTGCCCACATTCCTGTCTTCCCCTCTTTCTCTGGGTGCCTGGGGCCAGTTCTAGGAGTCTGCCATCACTGAGTCCTTTCAGGGTGATTTTTTTCCTAGACACTTGTCTGTGTTGTCCTCACCATATAATTTGCACCTCATATTATCCTCTTAATTCTCTCCTTAGAGATACCCTCCAGATTAAACCCTGTAAGAGTCTTTCCCTAGTTTATGTGCTCATGGCTTCTTACTCTAACTTATTTTTAACATTTTATATAAAGCGTAGAAGAAATATGGTTTATATTTCTTATACAATTTCATAAGCTTTTCATAGAGGTAAGTTCAACGTTAAAAAGATGGGAAAATCCAGAGTCAAATGGTTTTAATCAAAATAACAGTTATCTATAGGGAAATTGGTAGGCTGTAGAAAATCTTTCCACAGATTAGATAAAGGCATCCCTTCTTCCAACCAGATGTAGCTTAATAACAGCAAATGGAGCCAGACTGGATTTCAACTCAACCCTAGACAACTGTAAAAAGAGTCAAGTTGCATCACAGAAAAGATTTTAAAGTTGTTTCAGTAGAATTTTATTCTACTGTGTAGCATTCTAATCTTGGACAACGTTTCACAGCTTGGGCGTTCTATTGGCTAGCTGGTAAATTTTATACAGTAGTAGCCATTTTGATGGAATTTCTTTTCACACCAATGTGAATTGAGTGTCTAAGTTCATGCTAGGCGCTGGACTTCGGTCTAGCAATACAAACGTGATACTCGACTCATGAGGCTTACAGCTCAGCAAAGCAACCTCTGTGTAGCAGGAAACACTCTTTCTGGCATCGTACTCACTGATGAACTTGTTCTGCATAGTCTCCAGCAGGGCCTGGTGGGCATCTTCAGCCTGCAGAGCGTGTGAACATTCTCTCGCCAGTATGGTGCGCACGAGATGCTCCCCACACCCTAGAAATCCAAGGAACCAAGAGCAGTTGAACACGGGCAGTGCTAAATACCCTTCTCATCTCAGTAGCGCTAAGACACACACGTGCGCCACTGAAGAAGTCATTACGTTGGAAAATAATTCACTGATGGATGAGATGATTTCTATGAGTAATCTATTTAGTAACTTTAGTAATGAGATTTGGCAGAAACCAAAGAAACACAGGACCGTCTAATCTTGAAAGGAAATGAAGAAAATAAAAATAATTCCCCTTTTTCACAGAAATTATTCACATAAGACAGGAATTTAGATTCTCTACCTAGGAACTGTTGAGGGCTCTGTTTCGTTTCCTTTGCTGAATAATCGCAAAATACTGTTCATAATTTCCATACAGTACGTTCTCACTGGTTATCTACTTCATATGTAGTAGAAGGCAACGGCACCCCACTCCAGCACTCTTGCCTGGAAAATCCCATGGACGGGGGAGCCTGGTAGGCTGCAGTCCATGGGGTCGCGAAGAGTCAGACACGACTGAGCCACTCCACTTCCACGTTTATGCATTGGAAAGGAAATGGCAGCCCACTCGTGTTCTTGCCTGGAGAATCCAGGGATGGGGTCGCACAGAGCTGGACATGACTGAAGTGACTTAGGAGTTAGCAGTATGTATATTTTAATCAAAAGTCCTTACGTTCATGAAATTTAAACCGATACAAACTAATGTAATACACAGTTCTGTTTGGCTAGTATGTACTTGGACAGACATTAGGCAATGAATCTACTGTAAAAATATAATCTGCCATTTCTAAAATAGTTCCCTTCATTTCAGAAGTTTTCTTTCCATATGGAGACTTCTCCTCTCCCTCCTCCCTCTGCCTCCCATATAAACATGCACATATGCATATACACATATGTGTATATTATATGTACATGTATATTACACAGTCATTGTCAAAAATGCAAACTGCTCAAAACCTGTCAATGTTTTTTAATCATCTATGTTTTGCCAGAAATCTTTGTTGTTGTTCAGTCATTGTGTCCAACTCTTTGTGACCCCAGAGACTGCAGCACACCAGGCTCCTCTGTCCTTCACTATCTCCCAGAGTTTCCTCAGATTCAAGTCCATTGAGTTGGTGATGCTCTCTAACCATCTCAACCTCTGCCGCCCCTTCTCCTTTTGCCTTCCATCCTTCCCAGCATCAGGCTCTTTTCCAATAAGCTGGCTCTTCACATCAGGAGGCCAAAGTATTGGAGTTTTAGTCTGACTGCCAGAAATACTTTCCCTGTATTTTTTGGTAAAGTAAATGAAAATCTCTTTCAAGATCTCAATATCTCTTTGTGAGTATCTATATTTAAGACCTTCATCTAGGTATGCAATTTAATATATAACTTGTGGGTAGGATTATTGTGATCCCTATTTTGTTAAAGCTTTGCACTATTATTTTTATAATTGGGGAAAAATTAAAGCTAATAGAAAAGAAACCATTTTGACACTTATTAAAACTCCTTAAAATTTAATTCCCTTTGTATACATATTTGATGTTGAACAGTGAAATGTTATACTTTAGGACAATAATAACTATTAGGAAATTGGTATATTATAAGCTAAATGGGTATTCAGAAGGTTATGTACACATGACTCAAGTCAAACAGCTAAACCACATGAAGTTAACATTACATCAAAAATACACACTGTGTGGCAGAGAGACTTTTTCCTCTGTTGTTATACAGGAATATATAGGGTTTTCCAAGAAACTTAAAATTATGACTTCTTCTCTGACATATATCACCTTTAACATAAGAGCCTTGACACCAAAAGTTTGTTCTCCTGAAGGTTCCAATCAAAGGAGGTCTGACTTCTGTGGTTTTACCCACAAATATCTAAGGTTTCTTATAACATGCTGCCATATAGCTGAGGCCTGCCCTGGTGGCTCAGCTGGTAAAGAATCTGCCTGCAATGTGGGAGACCTGGGTTCAATCCCTGGGTTGGGAAGATCCCCTGGAGAAGGGAATGGCTACCCACTCCAGTATTCTGGCCTGGAGGATTCAGTCCATGAGGTCACAAAGAGTCAGACACGACTGAGTGACTTTCACTTTTACACAGCTGAATGGTGATTCAGAGGTTTTATTCATCAATATTAGAAATAAGTCTTTCAATACATCTTCCTTTGTTCTTAATCATGCAAGCAAGAGTGTATTCATTTCCTCAGATTTTAGCAGAAAATATGGGTTATACAAAGAATGCAGACCTAACAACAAACCTAGAGAAAAAGTGATAAATAACGAATTCTAAAAGAGCTTAAAAAGGTACACACTTATTTAGCATCAATAAGGACAACTAAATGAACTGAAACAGTGAATTCACAGCTTATATTTTAAAAAAAACACCTTTGAAGATGCTGTGTAACCAATTAACTATTCCGAAAATGAATAAATGAAAGAAAACAATCAAGCATTTCTCTGGTGTTCCTATAGGAACTGCATAGCAGGGTAGCTAGAATGTTTATAAAGGAAAATTCTCTCCATAGCAGTATCCTGATTAATAAATGAAGAAGTAGTTAACAAAATTAGAATAAAGCCATTTGTAATCCATAATGTAATAATTGATATAAGCAACAATCATCAATGGCCGCTAAATCACAAAAAGATATAATCAGATATATGTCCCTTGATAAAATTACACCTTTATAGTCTTGCCCCACACCAAAAAATTACACCTCAACCTGATCAAGCCTCTAAATTCAATTATTAATTTCAAGAAATAAAAAACATCTGCAAAACCTACAGCTAACTTCATACTTAGTTGTGAAACACTGAATTGTTTCTCCCTAATATCAGGAAAAAGGCAATGATATCTGCTTTTATCACTTTCATTCAACAATACACTGGAGGTTCGAGCCACTGAGCTAAGTCAAAATGAAATAGAAAACATAAAGATCAGAGAGGAAAGGTAAAACTGCTTTTTTGTAGATGATATAATTGTTTACACAGAAAATCCCAAAGCAATCTACATAAACACCACTAGCGTTCTCTCTCCAGATTCTTCCTATCTGGCTAGGAGTCTAGGGCAAAGGTTGGCAGCAGACCCCCGTCTGGTACTAATCAGTCCCCAAAACATGAACTTGATTCCACTTCTTCCCCCATCCACGCACACAACAGATTGTTACTGAGCACCTACTCGGTGCTACTGCCAGAGGACACGGCAGTAGGCAGAGGCGCGGCTACCGTTTTCAGATCTGCCAAGAGGTGCTGGACCCTTGACCGGCTGCTGAATACTCAGTGAACGGCCACCCTAGCCAGTCCAGATGCCTGTGCCTCAACTGTGTGCTTTACAGACCAACCCTGGGGATTTAGACAGAAACCCTGGACTCAGGAGGCCGCTGGACATCCCCACAGCCTGCGGACAGCCAGTCTCCATGGCCAGGTCTCTCCCATGAATCCCAACCTTTACACCAGCTCCAGTTCACTCTCTCCTGGTGGGTTTTCTATTACTGAGACTCCCACACCCAAAGACATCAGAATTATAACACATTTCCTCTCTTGTGGGGATCCTCAACCTTTTACAACCCACACTAGACATGAATTCACAATAAAAAATCACAAATCACACACACACAGACTTATAAGGCAGAATGAGTATATGCAAAAACAGAGGGATTGCCAAACAAAGAAGTGGTGATGACAGAATGGTGGTTGACAAACATTTTATATTTAAATACATATATAAAATAAACATTTTAGGCTTTGAAAGCTATGTATGATTTCTGTTAAATATCATTTTATTTTTGTAACAACCCTTTAAAAAATTAAATATCATTCTTTACTCATTGGGCATGCAAATACAGGCCATGGCCAGATTTGGCCCAACAATCTTAGTTTGACAAGCCTCATAATGGAAAAATTTGTATTACAAAAGATGGAAAGGGAGATTATTATCAAAAAAAAAACAAAACAGGGCAATCTGGGAGCCAGGGAGTGGGAGAGGTGAGCAGATTTTTCAATGAATCAAATAAAACTTTACAGATTAAAAAAAAAATTGTTTAAAACTCAATGCAAGAGAGAGGATTAGAATATACACCCATGGGAAAAAACTTAAAAGCAGCCTAGAATGATAAAGAGAAGGAAAATCAGTTAAGAAGCCTGAAGTGTAAAATGAGATTATCCAACATATTAATAGGCATTTTGAAACAGAAGAGAAAAAAGTGAGAAAAGGGCATTAATATTTGAAGAAAAAATAAATAAGAAATTCAAGAATTTAAGTTATAAGGAAATCCTTAAACTGAAGATACATATAGCATTCCAAAGAAGATGAATAAAAACAAATCCATCATTAGTATACTATAGTGAAACTCTGGACCAAAGACAAAGAGAAAATATTAAAAACTAATCAGAGAAAATTTGCTCAGTTGGTAAAGAATCTGCCTGCAATGCAGGAGACCCTGGTTCAATTCCTGGGTCGGGAAGATCTGCTGGAGACGGGATAGGCTACCCACTCCAGTATTCTTGTGGCCTGGAGAATCCCATAGACTGTATAGTCCATGGGGTCACAAAGAGTTGGGCACGACTGAGCAACTCTCACTTTCAATTTTAATCAAAGAAAAAGAAGACCCATAAAAAATTTTTTAATTTAAAATTTTAACAGGTAAATTACACATTTCAAAGCAACAGAAGAGGCCAGAAGAATAATATCTTCAAGTTAAAGATACTAAGGCAATAAACAAACAAAACAACTTGTCAACCTAGAATTAGTTACACTACCATTCAAGACTGAGGATCAACACAGTTTCAAATTTACAAACTCATTCCTTTGAGATTTAAGCTCCCAGCTTACTTCTACTCTGCCTGATACCATACCTTCTCATAATTCTTGCTGATTTTAATATCTACCTAGACAAATCTCTCAATATCTTAGCTTCTGGATTTTCAGATTAACCACACTGTGTCACAAGGTCACCCCTATGACAATGCCATAATCAGTAATATTAACTCCTCCATAGTCTCATTTGCAATCACCCCACACCTCCTA